GCTCACATGTTTGTTCTTCTTACCACTGAACCGTGGCTTCTGCTTGGGTCAAAACTAGTTAATGTCGTCTTCAGTGAGATCTCTTTACTACACTTGTCTGAAACCAAACAAATGAGTGCTTCTAGAAAAGTGCCTACTGAAGTGTGATTCTTAGTTTAAATGCCTTGATCTTCTGAAATCCTACTTGATGCACGCAGCTTGAGCCACTTCTGTAGCTGTGACTTGGGTGTGATTGTAGTTGGATGGCTGATCAGCTCAACTGTATTTCTGCAAGCTGATGTAACACGGGTAGAGCTACACTGCAGTAACTGAACGTGTTATTTGTCTTGCAGTGGGACACGGCAGGGCAGGAGAGGTTTCGAACTATCACTTCCAGTTACTATAGAGGCGCACATGGCATCATAGTTGTGTATGATGTTACAGATCAGGTAAGTGTTGAACTTATGCCTGGGTAATTTCTTCAGGTGGAATATACTAGGCTGATACTTAAAGAAAACTGGGAATTTAGCAGCTTGGCACTTGAGGAGACCGACCATGTTCTTCAGGCTGTGTTAAGGTTTATCAAGCCAAATGTGTTAGTCTCTGGTTTGGAGCTAAATACAGAAATAAAAGGAGCAGTGGGATCTGTGGCTCTGCAGCAGTTTTATCTTGGGCTTAACCTAAAACTTGCTGGGCAGATAGTTGTGTTCACACAGAACGATCTTCTGACCCTGCCTTTGGTAGCAAGAAGTCTTGAGTTACCAGTGGAAGCTGTTGAAAGATTCTGAATGTACTTGAACTTTGGTCTACAATAAAAACTGGCATTTGAAATGGAAAATTCTCAGCATGTGTGCAGGATACAGCTGAGCCAGTGTTTTCTGTGAAAGAATCTGAAGATTACTGGTGCAGTTGTCCTGTTTGAAGGGCTCTTAGGAAGTGTAGAGTTTCCTGAATTATTAGAAAAAGAACAATCTGATTCAATTGCTAACTTGAGTTCATCAGTTCAGCATGGCAGTTCTGCGTTTCTGGAGTCAAAGGTTGTTCCAGCATCTCTATTACAGTGTGGTTTTCACCTAATACCTGGTGCTTTGCAAATGCCTGGGATTCTTCTGGCTGCAGCTGCATGCTGTGTCTCTTTATCTCTGCTGTGGGAGGAGGAGGAAGAGTCCCAGATAGTGGTTGTTGACTATTCAAGATACTGAGCAGGGAAAAATAAAGGGGGGGTTGTGCAGCAAGAAGGGCTGCTTGTGTGGGGCTTGGAGCATGGACTGAGGAGCTGTATAGACCCTGGGACTGGCCTCCCCTGAGGCACTCGGGAGTGCGGTAGCATTGAAGTGCAGAGGTCTCTTGTGGCTGTGAATCACAGTGATTAAGTGAAGGACACTGCTTCATATTTTTTCCCAGTTGTTACTGAGTAGTGCTGAGCTTTCCTTTTGGTTCAGGGTCTTGCTCACAGTTCTCTTGTCTCCTAGGAGTCTTTCAATAATGTAAAACAGTGGCTGCAGGAGATAGACCGTTATGCCAGTGAAAACGTCAACAAGTTGTTGGTGGGGAACAAATGTGATCTGACCACAAAGAAAGTAGTAGACTATACAACAGCAAAGGTATGTTGGTATTTGTGTATATCATGTTTATTTGCTCAGTTGAGCACCTAGTCTGGGTTGCACTGCACCTGAGTAAATTTTAGGGCAGGGAAGTGTCTTGGTACACAGATGTCAAGGTGGCATAAATGCAAGCAGTTTAATGACCCCCTGCAGTGCAGGTCATCGTCAGCCTGGAGTCTGGGAGTGGGGGGGGTGGTCTACAAACTCGTGGCTTACGCAGTGGTGCACCAGGAAATGAGGTGGGCTGTAAACCAGTGGATGAGCTTACTGTTCGCTGTTTCTCAATTTGCAGGAATTTGCAGATTCTCTTGGAATTCCATTTTTGGAAACCAGTGCAAAGAATGCCACAAATGTAGAACAGTCTTTCATGACCATGGCGGCTGAGATCAAAAAACGGATGGGTCCGGGAGCGACAGCTGGTGGTGCAGAGAAGTCCAATGTTAAAATTCAGAGCACTCCAGTCAAGCAGTCTAGTGGAGGTTGCTGCTAAAACTTGCCTCCCCCCTTTTGTCTCACAACAATGAATTTGCAATCTGAACCCAAGTGAAAAAAAAATAAATTGCCTGAATTGTACTGTATGTAGCTGCACTACAACAGATTCTTACCGTCTCCACAAAGGTCAGAGATTGTAAATGGTCAATACTGACTTTTTTTATTCCCTTGACTCAAGACAGCTAACTTCATTTTCAGAACTGTTTTAAACCTTTGTGTGCTGGTTTATAAATGTGTAATCCTTGTTGCTTTTCCTGATACCAGACTGTTTCCTGTGGTTGGTTAGGATGTATTTTTGTTTTGATGTTTCTATTGGCATGTTTAGATGTCAGGTTTAGTCTTCTGAAGATGAAGTTTAGCCATTTTGTATCAAACAGCACAACTGTGTCTGTCACTTTCCATGCATAAAATTTAGTAAGATATATGTAAGATCTGATTTGCTAGTTCCTTCTTGTAGACTTCTAAATGGAAAGATCACACTATCCGATTAATAGTTTCTTCATACTCTGCATATAATTTGTGGCTGCAGAATATTGTAATTTGTTGCACAATATGTAACAAAACTGAAGAAATGTTTAATAAATATTGTACTTATTGGAAGTAATATCAAACTGTATGGTGATAAATATTGTCTTAATTTGTATGGCTAAGGGGGAAATCAGGCTTGCATTGTGCACAATACATATCTGTGTGCAGCCATGGCTCTCGGACCTTCTAGTAGACCAGAGACCTTCCCTGCAACTAAAACTAGTGACTATGGCCCAAAAGCCCGAGTTGTTGTGGTGCTTCAGGCACATACGCTGTACCAGAGACACCCAGCCACTGGTTGTGGGGGCATAATGTGCTCTGAATGTACAACAGTTCCCTAACTTGGTCTTGGAACTTAATTTATTTCTCAAGGACTCGATTTAGGGGATTCCTGTCTGCTTTGTGTAGTAGGGGAGCGAGCAGTGTTTCCCTAATGTGAATGACTTCAGCGTAGCCTTGAGGAGGTATAACTTTCTACCACTATATGTCTTTTCTATATACTGTTAATTCCATCCTCTTTTAATCAATACTCTTCTGACTTAGTGCGAGCGACAGCTTAGCTTCTATTCTGTTACGCATAGAGGCACTGGAAGGATGAAATGGGGACTGTAAGGCCCCACCACAGACTGTTGCTCAAAGTAGGCGCTATCTCCAACAGTTTGGAACTAACCAGCAGCCACGAGGTTTTGGACAGTGTGAGATTCTTTGTACAGAGCTAATCAAATCATTAGTGCCTGATGTCTAGCTCAAAGCCACAGGAAAGCTAGCCTATAACACTTCCTATACATGTAAAATTGTCCAGCTTTATCTAAACTCAAATGTTCAGCCTATTCTGTAAATAGTCTCATGTTTGAAAGACCATGTAACATTCCCCTAGTAGTAAATACACCCTGTGTTAGTAAAAAATATAGCCTAGCTATGTTGTGAGGTATAAACTAAAACTGGTGCAAATATCCTCTGATTTTTTTTGGGGGGGGGTGACTTTGGCTAACAGCTTTCTTCAACATAGTTGCATCAATCAACAGGCAATTGTAATACATGAAGTATTGTCATGGTTAAGTTGAACTCTTCCACTTGAGACCTTCACAATAAAGTGATGTGCTTTCTATTAGAGATGTGCTCGTTGGTATAATTCATTATAAATGTGACTTGCTCCTCCTGGAGAGCAGGAGCAGTAGGAGTAGTGAGCGTTGCTAAGATCAGGAAGTGAACCAGAAGGAGGTGTGTTGAGGGTAAAACATCTTCCCTTCAGAGAAGTGCACAAATGAACTTAAATGTCAAGATGCCTGCTACATACTATCCAAAACAATGTTAATATATACAGTAATAAAAGCATTGCAAAACCAACTTGGGCTACACCAGTTGTTTGGTGGTGGTTTTTTTTTTTTTCTTAAGTCATGACTATGCTGGTGCTGTTAATTATCAGAGCCTGTGGCTGTCAGGCTGGAGGTGTGTGGAAGAGGGTCGAGCAGGGCAAAAAAATCCTGGATGAGGGTGCTGTAGTCTCTTACCTGTGAGCTGAACTATAAAATGCCTTTGACATATGGGTCAGGCTTAAGGCTTGCAAGTGGTAGCAAACAGGCAGCAGTTGCCTCTCCTTGTGTGTAACTCCTGTCCTGCCCTGCTCGAGGCTCTGTTTAAAGCATGGCCCTGTGTCCCTGTAGGTATGGGACCTGGTGTCGGTAAAGCCAGGGAGGCCAGTCTTCTGTAACCATTTGCTTGAGGCTTTTTCTTGAATTTACGCTGATGTATGAGTTGCCACCTGCAACTTGGCAATAAAAACAATTGCCCTTTAAGCTGAGGGGGTGGAAGATGGGAGAGGATCAGGAAAACCCCACAAAACCCAAGGCATTCTTTGTCATTCAAAACTGCTTCAGTGGAACTGCTTTCACCTTTTACTTGCGCAGTACGGAAACTTCACTTTGGTCTCTTTGCAAGAATAGGAGAAAATGGTGTATTCTGCCCAAAACACGATGGTCACCCTTTAGCTGAAAGGTTAACAGAAGCCAAGTACCAGCCTCCCGTAGGTGGCTGTAACTTCTTGGCCGCTTCCCTTGTCAGGCTGCTGCAGCGGTGCCCTCTTCTGCTGCAGAAAGGATTTGGAAACCCTTCATGAATGTTTTGGTAGCAGCGCTGGACTGCACGAGCTGCAAGAAGGGAAAGGCACAACTCCTCACCCAGCGCTACTGCAGCTACTGCGAATAACGGGTGCCGGCAGCTTAGACCCAACCTGGCTCTTCCCGGACTGCGCTCACCTGCTTATTATTTTATCGCGATTCATGCAGCATGCCGGCTCTTTGTGCACAAGAAAACTGAACGTTGAATAAGCTCTGCTTCAGCAGGGAATGGTAATTATAAACAAGAGTTCAGTTTGCTCCCAAGAACCAGGAGGAGCTGCTATTTCTTGGCTTCTAGTGCCTATTTTTGAAGAGCATAAACAAAACATGAGAACACGGCTATTAAAATTACACGGCTTTACTTAGAAGTGAGTTGCACACTATGGATTACTCAGTTAAAAAACACCGTGTTCTTGATATTTTGCTAGCACGCGGAACAGGCCACCTCAATTAAAAAAGGAAAGCTACATTAAAAAAAAACAAAACCAAACCAAAAGAGGCCAGCTGTACATTCCTCACTCTCCAAGCTGCCCCCCCGTAGTCAGTGCTACTAACTAGCCATCCCAGCAGCCGAATGACTGCTGCACAGCTCGCCTTGCTCAAGACACGGTTAAAAAAAAAAACACAACAAAAACCACCACAAACTGCAACCAGCTGGGGCTGGCTAACTTGGCACACGGTGCTGGTGCGTATTTGGCGCCTCCGCGAGAGGTGAACGAGGTGGCTTGGTGCCCGCTGCAGCGCTTCTCAGCCGTCCTGGGAG